TTACCTGATGCTGCATCCAGGCGTTCCGTCTCGTTGAGCCTTGATGGGCGCTTCTCGCAGGCACATGGGCTTTCGCAGGATGACACGACTGCAAGTAAGCGCGTCAGAGAGCAGGATTGCCCGAGTGTCTGTGTGTGGGTCTGTACATGCTTGAAAGTATGCTGATGTGTAGCCAGGCCGCATGATGAAGTCTTTTCTTCAAGTAACCACTCCGATGCTTGGTGTGGACGGAAAGAATGGTTCGATTACCTGATGTCGTGGCTGTCACAAGCATTCTGTTGGATGGTCGCGTGGAACGGCGGCAGGATGACATTGTTTTCTTCAAGTAACCACGCTGAAGCTACGGGAGTGTGGACTGAGAATGGCTCGATTACCTGATGCTGCATCCTGGCGTTCTGTCTCGTTGAGCCTTGATGGTCTCTTTTCACAAGCACATTGCCAGCAATTCCATGTTATTGGCTTGTAGACTTGATTCTTGGTTGAGTTTTGGGAGGATGAAACCACTGCAAGGAAGCAGTGGCAGATGCGCTGGTGAAGAAAGAGCTATAGGATCGACTTCTGGTTTTCAGTGTCAGTGAGCCCATGCGAGCAGCCTTGCACACTTGCTGCACTAGCCGTCGACGTTTGTTAAGCAAAACTAGCATGATAACTTTTGTCACAAGCAGCCACACGCATGCCAGGCTATCCAGAAGTGCTTGTGTTCTGTCAGATCGGCGCGTGCATGTGTGACTTGACTCGCTGCCAGCCTGGTTCTACTACTTGAAGGATCATCGGACTTAGTAAGTAGGGTTGTAATTGGGGTAACTATACTTATAACCCCAATTAAGGGACTTATAACCTTACTTACTGAGTCCCATGATCCTCCAAGTACCTTTGCCGATGCCTGCTGTTGCTCCACCGAAGTGGGCCAGTTCTGATGACAATTACGAAAGGGTTTAGGGTGTCGGACATGACGCTGAAGACACTGTGAGGTTTCACAAGCTGATAAGCCCAGGCGTGCATCCCTGACCTTTGCCGGTCGAATCAGATGTTTCAGGTTTCCCTAACCCCCCAAGTACCTACTATATAGGGCCTTAGGGGCTCTAGTACCCTATATAGTAGGTACCTGGGGGGGTTTGGGTTTGACGATGTTCCCGAAGTCGTCTCCGACGCCGCAGTCAACTGCCAAGTTCCCTGTACTGGTGTGCCGAACCCCTAAACCCTAAACCCTAAACCCTAACTGCTATGGCCACTACGTTAGTTGGAAGTTGTAGACAAACTCGTGGCGGTTGCCGCAGGTTCTGGTCCTCATGCCCCAGTTGAACCTTGGCCCATGGGTTTAGGGGTTTAGGTTTAGGGTTTAGGGTTTAGGGGCCTTGTATACCTAAACTATGGGAGTTATGGTGCTATACTCTGTCTGGGTCATGCAGAATTTTGTCCATCAACAGTACGTGTTGTCGGCACTTGGAGGTTCATGGGTAGTTATAAGTATGGTTATAAGTCGGGTAACTTTTATTATGACCCATATGAGCCATGAACCTCCAAGTAGAGTCTGAGACCGCAAGGAACGGCCTGAAACCCAGTGCCTCGAAACCGTCGTTGTTATTGAAACCCTTAACCTCAAACTAGGCATGGCACCGGTCGTGCGACCATGGCTGCACACGCAGAAGCATACACAGCCTTCCATGGAAGTATAGAGCCTCACGAGCATCAGCGCTACTCGTTGCATGCACTGACCTGATTGCACATACATGCCCGTTCGCATGAGCCTACAACCGTGAGCCCTCAGCCTAAGCCCTAAATCTCACGGCGCCGAACCTCGAAAATTGAATCTCCCCATCCGAACTCAACACCCTGAACCGCCTGAACCCTTTGACCGGCGAGGTTTCTCGGTAGCATCCAAAGAAAGCTATCATGATGATTACTACTGTCACTACCATGATTGGTCTTATTATTCATAGCCCGCACCGTGATGCCCAATGATTGGGGAAGCTGGACAACCTGCTGAGCCATAAACCCCCAAAACCTAAAACCCCAAAACCCCCAATGCCTTAAACCCTAATCCCTAAACCCCCAAAACCCCTAGAACCTAAACCGCCTAAACCCCCACAGCCCCAATACCTTAAACCCTAATCCCTAAACCCCCTAAACCCCCCAAACCCCTCCCTAAAACCAAATCCCTAAACCCCCAAAAAACCCTAAACCTGTACAACCCCTAAAACTCCCAAACCCTAAAACCCAAAGCCATAAAAAACCGTAAGCCCTAAAACCTAAACTCTAAACCCTAAACCCTAAACCCTAAAACCCAAAAAACCAAAAACCCAAAAACCCAAAACCATAACCATCAAAACCGGAAGCCCTAAACCAAGGAAGGGCATCTTCCATCGACTCTTTGAGGCTTGGCCCGCTCGGGAAGAACATCAATGGGTTTAGGGTTTAGGGTTTAGGGTTTTTATAGTTTTGGGTTTTGGGTTTAGGGTTTAGGGTTTAGGGTTTTAGGGTTTTAGGGGTTAGGGTTTAGGGTTTAGGGTTTAGGATCAACCTAGGGGCTGAGTAGGGAACCTTTAAACTAGGATTTAGGACTTAGGATTTAGGGTTTAGGGTTTAGGAATTATAGGGTTTAGGATTTATAGGGTTTAGGGTTTATAGGGTTTAGCATTTTGGGCTTAGGGTTTAGGACTTATATGGGGCTTAGGATTTAGGGCTTGGGGTTTGTAGGGTTTACGATGAACATAGGGCGTAGGGTCTTGGATTTATAGGCTCACGGTTTAGGATTTAGGGTTTAGGATTTAGGGTTTAGTGCTTTGGGCTCGGGAACTAGCGTATAGGGTTTAGGATATAGGGCTTAGGGTTTGGGATTCAGGGCTTAGGATTGAGAGCTTGGGGTTTAGGATTTAGGGCTTAGTGCGTTGGGCTTAGGCTTTAGGGCCTAGGGTTTATGCGTTGAGGGTTTAAAAGCTTAGG